TCAATAAATCTGTAATTCTCAAAGTCAAAGTAAAACAAAATGATATTTAACTAGTCTAGAAACTAACAAACGATTCATTTATTGAACAGAAACTTTTAATCCCTTCTATAAACCCTGGCCTGGCTTATTCACAACGTGTGTTCTAACGTGTGCTGAAACACTAAGCTTTTAAGAATTGAATAGATGAAAGGTCATATTTCTGAAGCTCAAATACATACAGAATATGGAACTATCCTATTGTTACGATAGAGAGCTAAAATATTTGACTTAATATTAATATAAAGTATTAAATATTTTATATTTAAATAAAGACTTAAGACCGAAATATACAAATTATTGTAAGGTATCTATTTAATTCATTGCATGAATTAATCCCATTGTATTTTAATTTAATTCTGTTGGATCTTAAAACATATTTAACTTGAAATAAAGTCCAGTTAAGATTAGCCTGTCGCTAATACCGGCCGCTGGACTGAATACAGGAGTTGCAGGAAGTTTTAACTTAAAGACTTAAAAGATATATTAAGAAATTTATTGAGGAGAGAAAACAAAACAGACTGCAAAATTATAAGTAAATGTACAACTATGTATAATTTAAAATAAAATGTATAAACACGATATACGAATTCCTATAAAGCAGGGGATTTAAAGGAAAATCAAACGAACTCACTAATGTAGACTAAATCACAATCAACACCGTCTGCCTTCATCCGACATGTGTCTACCCGCCCTCGAGTTTCTTGCAAGCTCCAAAATATTCAACGGATATGAAGGTATAAATACTTTGGTTTGTCAATTAAAAATTTGTCATTTTCAATTAATATTGAAATGAGGTGAGAAAATCTTTTTGACAACTTCTATATAAGTGCTATTCAATTGAAAAGAAATCTAGAATATTCTGAATCCAACCCATTCGTGTAAAGCTAAGCGAATTAATTGAAGCCTTAAATGATAGACGGATTCAATATTCCGCATTAAAAGCTGGGCTCCGCTGGATAACTGAGTTTCCGTCGCCCCGGGAACCGGGCCTCTATTATATTGCGCTCACGTTATTTTGGATTGTTTCTACTTTTATGTTTTGATATATCGCAGGGTTACAAACTTTTGAACAGTTAAGTCGATAGCTTCGGACAAAGGTTTTGGGAAAATCAATTTCAAATACTCATGTTGAAAGTTGAACATTTTGAGGAATTATAGCTTAATAGGTGTAACATTATTAATGAAACGTGACACCTGAGAAACATGTCATTACGTGGATTTATCGAATCCTCTATTATTCACAGTGTGTAGAGTGAACTAAAAGGTTACATTACGTAAACGTGAACTACAAAAGACAATTGCACTTAAATTTGCTGCATAGGAAATATTTCTGCAAAATATGTCCTTGATATTCCAATTCCGAGACAATTCAAGACTATATCGAAAACATAAAATATTTTATGAGTTATATTGACGTAACTTATTCTTCCAAGAACACAAACCCTCAAGGTCCTTTCGGTTTGGTACTGAATATGAGAATGATTGGAGTATTTAAAATATACCAATATAAGATTTGAATTTTCACAAGCGAGGTAAATATTTGCGTGCCGCATAATATTTATCATGATCCGATAAAATACAATGTGACAACGATATAAATGAAATGCAAACACAATAACCGTAATAAGGATTTCCCGTTATTTGTTGAGGTGTCACTGTATTTGTTTTTTTAATTTAATCAGTTATGGTTGTGGTGCGACTGACTTTGTATAAGGTATTTTAACGAGTTTCCTTATATTTTTTTTAAATATTCGGGAGCTTTCAACAATGGTGTTAGTGAGAAGACTCGTCGACGGTCGTATCTAAAGCCTGCACTTGTTTTGACTCTATATCTCGCTCGAACATTCCTAAACAACAGATCGAACCTGTTACTTACAGATACCAATACCTAAATGTTTGCGGTTGTGACCTACTTTAACGAAAATGTTTCTTGTTAATATAATTTTGTTGGAATAAATAATTAAATTACACGAAGAGTTATTTATAATATCCTCACCACCACTTATTGCTTGTGACCTCAATAGCAACCACATTTTCTCAATGTGAGTGGGTACCATTAAATCTTTGGGTTGAAAATAGACCGTTCCGTAGAAAATATATTTATCAGCCTTTCGATGCATTAAAGCCATAATTCAACCTATAATTAGTAAATGATAACAAATATGTTCCGCAGGATCATTATTACACGTAGTCAACGAATGTAACTCCATCAAGGGTCAGTTTATACAACGAATATATATGCGTGATTTACTCACATCACATTTTGTGGTTTATTATTAGTTAAAAATATAAATTTCGTTCAGGCTTTAACAAATTTTTATGAGAAATAATTCGATTGCACTTTATAAAAATGTACATTTCATTCAGACTTGAAAAAAAATATGAGAAGTAACTCAATCAGACATCGTAGGCCTTGAGGGCTAAGGCTGAGGACAAATTTAAATTATGAATAATATCTATGTCTATAAAATTACAATTATCAATAATAAAATATTTTGTTTCAGACTCAAAACATACATTTTTTAATTAACTATCTCAAAGTATTTTATATCACTTTCAATTGCACTTTAAACTTTGACAGGTTTGAAAATGTTTAGTATTTTAGCCCCTTCTTTAGTTATAAGCATATAAACTAAGAGTAAAGTTATATTAAAATTTGAGGTGAATATTTTCCTGTAATAGTAACATGTTTTTGGTCAACCTGGCGAACAAATATCCAAATAGCTTTAAAAGCGTCTACAAGAGCATACTTTGAATTTTACAAAAGGTTTGTTTACTAATAACATGATACTGTAACAATCTATTTACATAGTAACACGTTTCTAATATTTTTTCTGAAATCCACTTTTGTTTCATATAATGTATTTTTTATATTTTAATTTTTGTTTAAAATTTAGAATAAGCTTTGGTCTGGGGAGTTACGCTTGATTCGCCTTAACATAGCGGAAGTTACCATATCAGGGAATATAAGACAGACAAATATATTTTTTTATTTACATACATGTACAAAATATGAAATACTTTAGATAAAATTATTTACTTAAAATCTACATAAAGGTTGAAATTTTACTTTCAAATTATATATGTATAGGATTTTAGATTATTAAATATTGTGCATATATGTATTATAAAAGTCATAATATATGTGAGAAAGGTAGATTTTTTGCAATATAGTAAGTACGTGATCATCAAGTCCAAAGACTGTATATACTCTCTGTTGTAAAGATATTCTCATAGTAACGATAAATATAATATTAATTAAGAGATATAATTGTCGATCTATTTATGTACAATTGAAAAAAGTATTATAAATAGAGCGACTAATGTGGTAGTGATGGGTCCTTTTTAAAAAACAAAATATTTAAATATCAAAGAATAACTGAAAAATTCTTTGACATTTGGAAGATTAAATTTCGACGAATATTTTTCAGACAGTAAGTGACTTAGAGAAGGGAGGCCTGTGGAATACGGACTGACTGTTCTGGCGACAGCGAAAGATGAAATTCTTTTTAAGATTATATCATACCAGAAAAATACATTCGGTCGAAAATGGAAGGGCTTTAGGTATAGTTTTGGTAGTAAAATTGGAATACAGGTAGCATACTAGAAGAAATTGCAGTCATTGCAGTAAAAAGTTTCTGAAATTTGTACCACTTAACTCGCTATCTGGTGTAAAAGCTGCTATGTAAAATTAAAGATTTATACGTATAGGGCAATGTAGGAGTGTTTTCCAATAGTCTGTTATTTAATAAAAGTCGATCGATATCAACAACGAACGCCAGTTAATCAAAGTTTTTATAGGTCCACTGGAATATATTAAAATTTAAAATGAAAAGTTAATAAAATTTCTGTAGATGTTTGAAGCTTGTTGAGTTTACTGAAAGCAATTACTTCCTGTTACTATAACAGTCGATTAGTCACGCTCGATATTGTTTTACCGTTTATTGAAATAATAATATATCGTAAAATTCTCTTTAGTTTACAAACTTTTAACAGTAAATTATTCCATGATGCATAGTTATGTTTATCAAATGTAAATCATCATGTAGTCGGTTCCCGTTGTTTCAGACACGATTAATTCGCGTTTCCAATCAACGAACGACGCGTGTTCGAAATATACAAGCGACAGATTATCGAAGTGTATCTACATCAATTACTTTACAGTTCAAATCAACGCTTCCGAGATAATGCTTAAAAAATAACAAAAGTGTATTGGATCTACTGACAATAACAGTTGTATGTTTCTTAATCATCACATTCTTTGCTTTCAAGGATGTATGTCACCGAAAATATGCAACATTTCGTACTTTCTGGCAATATATATGTATTTTTTGTGAATTTCACGAATTTCGACAACCATCGCCCGGTAATTCTAATTTGTTCGTGCATCAAATTTTAAAAATTCCAAAGCAAAATTCCAACGTAGTTTTGAATGCAACAACGTCGAAATATTTTCCTCAAAGATATTTTACTTGAAAATATATTTAGATTTTAAAGATTATATAATTATTTTTATAACCAAACCAATTCTGGTTTTATTATAAACTGATAAGGAATATTTGATACAAAAAAATACTGTGTGTGTGATAGCTCTATAACATAAACACTATATTAAATGTTATTTTTTATATAAGTAGACAAATATGATTCTTTTTTTTCCCTGTAGCTTTCAACAACGGAACTAATTGGGTTCTATTTAGAAACCTTTTATAAGATTGAGAGGCCGGTTAAGCGTTTCTGAAGCACTAGATTTATTTTGATAATTCAAAAGAAAATAAAAGTAATATTTTCGGAGTGCTACGCGTTATTTTATTATTTTTAAAAACTTCATGCTCCTGAAATTTCGGATACTTTGTAACGACCCTGATCACGGACAGTCTTTCAAATGTTTGTATGGATTGTGTAAGCTAGTTGGATAGTTTTTTTTTTCAATATTATATAGTATTAGAAAGAGTACTTACTCGTCAGGCAGCGTGGGCGCCCCCTCTTCCTGGCCTGGCGCATTTACGTGCAGAACGCAGAAGTTCTCCAACAACGCTCTCATGTCCACGTAGTTGAAGAACGGTTGGAAGCTGGTATCTGGAGACATTCATACGCCTTACAATCTATGATAAAACGTTCCTTCTATTTTCTTCCTTAAGATAGATCTACTTTATTATAAACTTATGTCCATTAATTTAAAACAGTATGCCAGTAAATTTATGCAATGACATATTCGCAATGCGGGTTAAATCAACAACTGGAGGCTTTTGCACGTTAAACGCTAAGCAATTTCGCGGGCAGAAACTGGCCATATTGTCACAAGTTAGTTCAGCTGTCTGAATAATGGTTTAATACACAAATGACTTGTTAGCGGATTATAGCTGGATGAAGATCTTTACTATAAACGTTTTATAATTTTTGAGATGCAGTTGGCGCATGAAATAATATTTTTAATAACCTGCTCTCGACGATAACTTTGTTGGAGTGTTTCGAGGAAAAACCATAATATTTTAAGAAACCGTGAAAGTAGTTTCTCTTCAATTTATTATGTGCTAATAAAGTCATACTGTCTTTCGAATATAAGAAACAAAACGTTTAATCTTTACTAGTTTGTTTTTTAGTGCTGTTCTATAGCAAATTATCCAAAAGGCATTTATCATAAGTTTCATTGGCTATTTTTACTAATTTTATTTTGAACAAAGAAAATTACATGTAAGTGCCCGTGATAATTTGTTTTGAATTATTTAATGAATTGAATATGACACTGTCTCTAATTCTGTGCTTCTGGCTAAAGATTGGTAGCAAAAGAAAGTCAATGAGTAGGCCAGACAAATCCGCACTGAGAACTAAATCTAGACTTACGCTGAGTCTAAGTCTTAAAGCTCTTTTAGCCTTATCACCAGTAAGTCACACATTACTAATGCTATTCACCGTTATGAAATTGTTCAACTCCGACTGAGCTTATTAAGGATTTAACGTGACGATGGTCACTATGACATACAAAAACACCAAGTTAAAAATTAAACATGTCAAAAAATATGTGTTTCAAAAACTTTTTTGATCTAGTTGAAATTACAGTTTAAAATGTTATTTTTAATTGAGTTGTAGAACTATTTTACGAGTAGACAGAAAAAAACCAAAAGTTATTTCGATGTCGGTCCCTGGTCCACAAAAATTTGCTACAAATTCAAAACTTAATATACAAAACTCCGATTATACATCCAGCAGTTTTTAAACGTTAATTAAAACTGAATTTGAAATATATGTGTCATTATAATCTGTTGTTACTCGTATAACAAGTCTATGTTAAAGATATTTGAAATATGTATATATTGCATTTAATGCCCAATTTACCTAAAATAATCACTAATTCTTTGATCCTATGTAAATTATGGAAGAACAGGTTAGTAAAGTATCTTTATATAATAAAGGCTTGTAAATCTGTAAACTTGATATACGCGTCATCAGGGTATTCTTTAATAAGTGTTTATACAGATCCTGAACGTGAGAAAATCTGGTTTAATCACACTGTCGACGTTTCGCATAAATAAATTGCAGATTAATTTAACTTGTAAAATAGTTTTTTCTTTTTACATAATTTATATTTTTAACATTTATCCAAGGTAAACTAATACAATTCTTTAATAAAAAAATTATGATAAAGAAAGACGAGGATATTGGATTCAGAATCAAGGAAACTTTTAAACTAATTAAAACGTGTCAAAATAAATCATTTGCTGATAAATATTGGTAGTAACAGCTGCTGGCTCTTTATTAATTTATATTATGAACGACCAATAAATAACTGGCTGTGTAATGGATAAGTTTAAATACATTTTCATATTTAATATGCTGTTGAGCTTCTGCACTCACGGATTTAAAAGTTTTTAGATCCCCTTTAAACAAGCGGATTAAACACACACAGGTGTTCCTTGTTTGCTCAAAAATAATTTTCAAAGACAAAGATTGTAAATTAGTCTATGCAGTTGAGGATTCATATATCTATTCTTATCGCTTTATTATATAAAAATATTCCATATATACATGTCATTATATAAAAATATTCCACTGTCTTGTTTCTATTTACTGTCTCAATAAAATTTATAGTATAGTCGGGTAAAGAAAGCATAAATATTTGAATAGCGTAAGACGGTCTGATGCTTAAATTATTAAAAACCAGCTAGCTTTAGTACACTAAGCTTGGACTGAAGCGTTCGACAAAACATTTTGAATGAATTTTTTGAGAACCTATAAGAGTGAGCACTCGGATTAGTATCGAATTAACTTTTCGGATACATTCAACGACGGATTATATGATGAAGATAAAGGAAAATTCTAATATTAAAACTGGGGCTTTATATGGAAGTATGTAAATATGGGCTTAACGAGAATACAAAAAAGAAAGGAACCTTACAAAATGTCGATCATAACATGAGTTTGATAACCTAATATGTTTGTTACAAGGTATGCTAGTTGGATCTTCCAGATTATGTTCCATGGTGAAATTTAAGATCGGCCTGCCATTATTCAAGCTGGGAAACTGGGATTGTGAACAATTTCAGCAGATTTTTATTCAGATCGGTCAGTATGATAAGTTTTCAGCAAAGTTTAATCAAGACAGAGGTTTAAAGTCTTCCACAAGAGATCTTCTGATTTCAAATCACACTTATTGACTTTCGAAATTAGTATCTACATATGTAAAGTTATAGCTCATTATATTTATATCTAATATTAAGGATTTGAATGAAGATTTTGTTGTTTTATGTTTTCAAGTTAAAACTATATCTTTTGCTTATATAAAATTGCATCTGTACAGTTATTTTCAGTCAGACTCATTTTATCAGGCATCACGTAAGAAATTTTAAAACGTTTCTTATTTAAAGTTACGTGAGTATTTTTTTTTGAATAATTTTTTACTACGTACCATCCGTTATATCGAATGTTACGGTTTACAAAATATGCGTTTGAACCAAATTTTAAAACAGTTCTTGTTTCTAAGTTAAGAATCACGTTATCATATATCTCGAAGCTAGCAGTCGAGAATTAATTATCTCACAATAATTCACAGTGCTGACGCAGGGAGTGATGATAATTGCTCAAAGTCAACTGCGACATCTCTACTTTATACACGGCCGTTAACTGGTTTCAGTTTCCTCGGAATCGACAGGTCTTATGAACTACTGCCCATAAATATACGTTTGAAGTAAAACATTCAAATATTTCTTTTAACTGAGGATTTGCGGTTTATTCTTCAAAGGTTTTTATTAGCTTTATCTTTATTTAGATTAAAAACGCATATATGTATAAATGTAAATACAACTCATACTAATCAAATAGCGCGTAATCATTTTTCTAAATAATTATTAATATTTTTATTTGCTAATATGCAATAGTTATAATTGATTTAAATTTTATACTCACGTACTTCGTGTAAATATAGAGTATTGTAGAGGTTATATGCTCTCGAACCAAATAATCTGTGTATTGTGGGATTATTTGATGACAACACGATATTAGGCCTTTTGCTTACATTAGATAACATTGTTTTATTTGAGAGTTTTATACGTTTTTGGTTTATTTTGTATGACGTAATAGTTCGGTGATATTTTAGTTTGTTTTGACTTCACTGTAGCTGTTAGCCCTAATGGTTTTGACAGCGTCACCGGGTGGATACTTGTATGTAAGTGTTGTATTGTTAGATGATAGTAATGTGCTATTGAAAAACCAAAGTATTTATCTTAGGAATTTAGAAAGGAAACCTTGCAACAAGTATGTAAAAAAAAACTAAGATTGCATTTTGTTAGAATAGGCCCATAATAAGCGGAATTAATAATAAAACCCGAATGAGATTCGATGCCCATATGCATTAGAGAATAACATTAAGTATCTTATAAGAGATTTTAGTCCTCTTGTCTATCTTCGTCCTTCAAACAAGCGTGACTATGAAACCTAAAAAAATCTGTATTAAAAATAACAGTTTTGAAAAGAATCAGTATGAAAAGGGAATGTAAAAGTGAATCCATTTCAAAACGTGAATTAGTTATAGAATGGTATAGTAAATATACTTGGATGTACGTATAAGAAAAACTTATATCATGCTAGAGATAGCTCCGTCACGAGACACCCGCGGAATGTTGATTCTTTATATTGAGACTAGGAGAGCTGATATACATCAAAAGTTGACGTGATCATACTGTGGATGTAGTGAAATAATTTTACTTGACAATATTATTTTATTAATATATAACGAGATACCTTTTGATTTTAGACCTTCGATCAATCATTAGTAGATGTGAAGTATTTTTTATGTACTTCATATATTAAAATACAAAATGCATAATATTACACCCAAGCGTAGGCGTCAATATTAAACATATCGATTTTTTTGGTATTGACAAACAAGATAACAAAGACCAATCAACTTACGACAAATAAAATAGAGGGGAACATACATTTAACCTCTAACCTTTAGTAAGAATTGATTATACATATTATACTATAAATTACAGTAAAGTATTTTTTTGTCCCAATGGGTCAACAATTGAGTTAGAACCAATTTCGGTAAGTCACAAGCCTGTAATTGTAAACAGAATTCAACTTCAATACGGACTGGTTGAATATACATAGTTACGATACTTATGGAATAATAGAAGTAAATAATCTATATAAAAAAGAGTATGTACCCTATATCAGAAAAACATTACAAAGCCGATGCAGTTCATAGAAATTTTAATATTGGGATAATCATAATTAAGTAACGATTCTGAAGTAAATTTTGTATAAAAAAAGTTTTTATTAATTATTATTGGCTTTACTTTGGAATTTACCGAGATATCGCACCAATAAAGTTATGAAAAGGAATGCTTTTACGTTAATTTATTTATACACATTTAAGTTAAAGGATGTCGACCCTAAACACACTTCAAATAAACTTGAAGTGTCTCTGAGGATCCAACCCCAGGCGCGACTTTTAATTAGAAGCTATAATTAAAACATAGTTTCAGTCTCTTATAATAATTTACTATCTAAAGATCGTTTCGCTTTATGATAAGAATCATTCACTAGAAATAATTTTACGAATACAGAAATGGTCATAA